CCACACGTTTAATACTTATTTCACACACACACACTGATACACACACACGGAGGTATTGCATTACAACGGAATTTCAGGCAGCTGGCTGCAGGCCGTGTGTGTGTGTGTGTGTGTGTGTGTGTGTGTGTGTGTGTGTGTTTGGTATCTGGTTTCCACCGTTCGCTGACCAACTAAGCAGAATAAACAGTGAAAATGAAAAATTGTGTGCGTTTAACAAACTGAAACGGCAGCGAGCGGCATCAGAGACACCAGGAGGAAGAGCACACGAGAGTTTAATCAGCATATTTTCCAATGGAAGAAACAAAATGCAGAGTGAGAAATGGACGTCCTGACTCGGATTGTGTTGGTTAATAATTCACTGGCTGCAGACAGGCTTGCAGAAGGATGTGAAATCAGCAGGTTTTCTGTGGCAGTTCTGACTTGGATGTTTTTCCTTCTTTTCCGTACAGGCTGGAGTTTCAGTGTCGTAGTTTCCAAAAATCAGGATGGCTCGAACTGCGTTTCAGCCACAAAGACAAACAGAACCCAATCACACTGCAGTGATTAAATGGTGATCAGCGTCTGTTAAATAAGAAAGTTTCCAGTGGGAGTTGTGAATTAGATCCTTTGGAGGGAAAGAAAAGCAGAGAAGAAAGACGGAAGAAAATGATTTCTCGTGGAAATTCTGACTGTGAGTTGTTTAGAGGACAGTCCTGTTTGCATTTCCTTAAATTAAACATTTAAGGAAATGCAACATTTAACGGTCCTTTAGAGAAACAGAAAGAAATCCCTAAAAGTCAATTTTCCCGTTTCTGCCTGATGTTGTTTTTTATGAAAGAGTGAAACACAAAGACAGTCGAACACTGTAGTGTCTGTTAGTTCTGCCAGTTTCCCTCGAGAGTTCTCCATTTGATAGCACCTGATGGATTAATTACTACATTTCTAATGGAAGTTCTGATTTACGTTCTGGGGGGAAAAAATCAGACATCTTTCTGTTCGATTGCTTTAAATCAGCGAGTTTTGAACTGGAGAAGCTTTGTGCTGAAGAAAGCCTTGATGGCAGTTTAAGTTCTGACTAAAGTGGAAAGTTTAGACATTCATCGAGTCAAAAGGGCTTGAAGACAAACGTGAGTTGGATTGAGCTTTAACCTCCTAGGACCTGGCGTCCACATATGTGGACATCATCACATTTTGGGTTGTCTAGACCAAAATACAACATTTTGCTCTACAAGGGCCTGATATCCACTTACGAGGATGTTATACTCCGAAATTTACAACACGTCCTCATATGTGGCTCTCATTTTTCTCAGAAACAAAAATCAGGTAAAAAATCTGTTAATTCTTTGTTTTTACATTCATCAGGACCCAATCAGCCCAAATAGCAAAGAGAAAATAAAAATGCGTCACATGAAAGAGTTCAGGTCTTAGGAGGTTAATACGAAAGTTTTCATTGCAAAGATTCACAGCTGGAGTTTGAAATCTGCAGTTTTCTGACCTAAATTCCCACAAAAACAACAGTTTGGATCATTAAAAAAAAGAGTTGATGAGCGTTACATAAGCAATGTTTAATAGAAGTTTTGAACTGGATAAGCTTTGCGCAGCAGAAAGCTTTGATGATGGTGAAATCTGCATCTGCCTGTTAGAAGTTCTGACTTTGGGAACGTTTAAAAAAAAAAGAGAAAACGGCTCGTCCTGGAAAAAAAATGACACGAGCAAATTTCCAGTGGGAGTCCTGATAGTGATTATGTTACTAAACAGTGTGCGCGTTCCACAGGAATAAAAGCACTCGACGACAGTTCTGACTTGGACTGATGGATTTTAATAAAGAAATTACACTTGATACAGAGATTTACAGCTGAAGTTTTAAATCAGCAGTTTTCCAAAAGACGTTCAAGGATGAAACAAACCAAGAGCTTGGTTCATTAAAGAAACAAACAGACTTGTTATATCACGGTTTCCTGATTCAGAGTTTTGAATCGTATACATTTTGCACTGAAGATCGACTCGGCGACGGTTAAATTAGTATCTTTTCTAATGGAAGTTGTGACTTGCATCTGAAATCAGGTGGAAACAGCTGCTGCTGGGCGTTAAAGCCGAATCTAATTGGATATGTGATTCAGAGCTCAGCTGGACATTCGAGTTTGTTCTCGTCACATGATCCTGTCGGTTAATGAAACTCTGAAGGAGTGCGTCTGTCAGCGCGCACACACACACACACACACAAACACACACATTCGTTTCCCGAGACTTGCTCAATCCACAAACTTCACAGTGAAAGTTAACGATTTATCTTAATGGCACTTTTTCTGTCGAGTCCCCACAACGTGAGTAATGCTCATCGCCGAAGCACACCCCGGGGCAACACAATACGACAGACGGATTGTGTCTCCGGGCGAGAGGTCAAAGGTCAGAGCGAGGCTGTGTGGGTGAGATCGCGACCTCGGGCTGTGCTCAGAACAAAGCAGGTGTTGACGGTTTGAATCCAGCCGGGAGTCACGAGTCAAAGGTCACTTCCTCTGTCGCTCTGTCACTCCCCCGTCACGTCTTCTTCTCCTCTTTCTCTGTTTCTCTTTCATCTTCTCCTGTTTACTTCTTTTCTTCCTCATCTTAATTTTCAGTCTCTCAGATTTACGATTGCTGCTCATTGACGTTTTTCATTGGTCGATGTCATGTTTGCTCCAGCTAAGAAAAAGGCTGTTTCGGAAAATAAGGCAAAAATTTGACTTTTGATGTGTTTTGTGGAAAAGGCTGAAAGATTCAGGATCATGTTCGCCTTTCTTGGCACGAGACTGGAAACTGGTGGAAACCAAACTGGTGGCCACATCCCCAGAGACCAGCTCCACCACCACCTCTGATTCCTACGGCGAGCACAGCCACAAAAGTCCCATTTTGGAATTTGCTGTTTTTTGTTAGTTTCTTGTTTTCTGGTAAAAACTCACCTGAGAAAATGAAATTCAAAGATTTTTCTGAAACAGGTCGGTGTTTGTGTGGAATGTGTCAATTCATTTTTCTATAGATTACACCTTTAAATTCTATTTTACAGCACGTGTGTGTGTGTGTGTGTGTGTGTGTGTGTGTGTGTGTGTGCGTGTGCGTGTGCGAGAGAGAAATTTGTGTTAGGTCTCTGTCTGCTGCAGTGTCCTACTTTAACGTCTCCTCCCTCACTCTGCTATGAGTGTGTGTGTGTGTGTGTGTGTGTGTGTGTGTGTGTGTGTGTGTGTGTGTGTGTGTGTGTGTGTGTGAGAGAGAAAATCGGTGTGTTTCTGTAAAACAGGATTGTGCAAGTGTGTATTTGGTTGTGAGTCAGACCTGCTGCCTGTGTGTGTGTGTGCAGCTCGTCAGCTCTAATTAAGCTCGGCCTCTTAACGAGCAGACAGCTAATTAACACACTAAGAGAAGCACACACACATTTGTCCTTCATCACACGCTCTGGTTTCTTCATCGTTTTTGTTGCTATCTTTCTTCTTTCCTTCTTTATTCCCTACCTTTGCACCCTTAAATCCTTATGTCTTCCTTTTTTGTGTGGTTTACTCTTTATTTAACTTTTGTCCCTGCCTCCTCATTCATTTCCTTGAATCTTTCCACTTACTTCCCTCCTGTTTTCATTCCTTTTCTTTTCTCTATATTTTTGTGTTTTTCTTCACTTGTTCCCTCCCTTCGTTCGTTCCTGTTTTATTTCCCTTTCTTTCTCATCACTTCCTTTCCTTACCTTGAACTCCCCTCAGATCTTATTTCTCGTCTGTTCTGTGATTTTAATTGTCGCTTTTGTAATTTTCCATTTTCTTTCCTTCTCTTTTTCTCTCATATAATTTTTTCCCCCTTCTCATTTTCTCCTTTTTTTTATCCCCGTTTCCTCCCCCTCTCTCTTTCCCCTCTCCCACTTTTACCCCCCTCTTCCTCCTCTTCCTCTGTGGTGTTTTTCTGGGTCAGACAGAGGGAGGGAGGCGGGAAGGTTTGGGGAGATTTGGGGAATCTTATTTTAGTCGCTCCACATTTTCGAGCAGTGTGTTTGTCTCCTCATCAGCCCTCTGCTGTATTTAACTTTACATGCTCACCATCATCATCACCATCATCTTCATCTTCATCATCATCATCATCATCTCTATTCAATGAAATCTAATCCCATTATTCGCTTTTATATCTGTGAAATGGCAGCTTTTTTTTTTACATGGTGCTATGAAACAGTTCAACACTTTGCATTAAGTGTGAGCCACCCTCACAGTTGCCGGGCAGATTTCTGTGGATATTCAAAGTCACCAGAGCATGAAGCCCAATGAAAAAATTCTTGTTGCATTTGAATCTGTGAATTTCCAGTTGAAGTTCTAAACAAAAGGAAAAATATAAAAAAATAAAAAGACAGATTTTTATTTCACGCGTTCGGTATATGGAAAATATTTGGAACTGATGAAACTGCAAATTTCTAGTTGAAGTTTAGCTTTAGATTATAGATTTTCCAATAAATTATAGAAATAATATTTCTTTAAAGGAAAAAATGATTAAATTTGGTTTGTAATTGATGTTGTTTTGGATTTAAAAGCATCTCCACTTTAATTCTGTAATTAAGAGTTAACTCAGATTTTCAGTGGAAGTTCTGACTTCATTGTTCTTGTTAAAAAACTGTATCTCTGCTACAAAATAGCAAAGAAGGTAAATCATTAGATTCATTGTTGGATTTTCAATAGAAAGACTTGTGGGTGTTAAACTGGCGGATTTTCAAAGCGAGTCTGACTTTTTTAAATGAAGAAAATCATCTTTGTATGGAAGACCTAATTAAAAGTTAAATTAGCGTATTTCAAATGGAGGCTCTGGTTTTTCACTAGATAAAGAAAAATAAATTTTCTGCATAATAAAAATCTCTGTGTTATTGGAGGAGATTCCAACGGAGGTTTTGACATAATTTTCTTTGAAAATTGAAAATAAAAGTTTCTGTTTCTGAGTGATTTTCCAGTTTGTTAGCGTTTCTTATTGTTTTTACAGGTAGGTTTTTTTAATGATCGTCATTCCTTTTGTGTTCGTTTCAGATCCGCGTGGATGGGATCCCACCGCCGGCCGAGAACGCTTTGCTGTATGAGACAGTGACTGTGGTGGAGGGCAAGCCGATCCTGAGAGACATGGTGTTCAGTCCTGACCATCAGTACATCTACCTGCTCAGTGACAGACAGGTAAATACACCTGCTGAGCCCTTACACGATCAGTCAGAGAAACGGTCACGAGACTCTTCTCCGTTCGTTTGTCCCTTTTATTTCTTCTTTGAATTTTACAGCCCAAAAAACACAAAGCTGGCGTGATGGTGACGCACCAGATCGGCTTTTTTGGGTCACCGTGAACATTTCATATTAAATGTTTATACAGAGATTTCGTTGTGACGCTCTGACATGATTAATGTTTTCGCCCTGCATCACATTTTTGGGTTAATCTAAGAATATTTGTGCTCGAAAGAATTTGATCAGCAGATTTATAACTGACCTGCATTTTAACAGATAAGGAAATCAAAAAGTCCTGACTTAGATTCTCCCTGATTCAGAAAAATAAAATCCTGCACAGAAGAACGACGTCTGAGGGTTAAATTAACAGATCTGTAATGGAAGTTCTGCTGGACAGAACTGTGAAGATTTCCAGTAAATGATTTTAGTGAACTTTTACTCACCCAGAGAAATGTATCCTTGTATAATAGAATTACTGAATAACCTAAAGAAAATGAAAATAACAAGCTAGATCAGAACATTTCCAACTGCATTAAGACTTTTAATCATTTAGTTGTCTTCTAATCAGTCATGAAAACAAAGAAAAGCTTGATATAGATGAGATGAGGAAAAGCAAATCTGTGTAAATGGAACTAAATCAGCAGATTTCCAGAGGAAGTTCTGATAAATATAAAAAATAAAATGCTCTACAGAAGAAGCCGTTTTGTTTCATGTTCAATCATCAGATTTTCAATGGAAGTTCTGCATCGAGGTTTTCAGTAGCCAATGAAAAGAAAGAAAAGGTCTGTACACAATAAAGACCCATGAGTTGGTTTTTAGTTCGTCAATAAGGGTTCCAGTCATTAATTGGGGGGGGAAACATGTTCTATATAGAAGAAAGCTTCTGAGTGTAAAATCAGCAGATTCCTAATGGAAGCTTTCCAGCAGCTAATGAAAAGCAGGGAAAGTTCTGCACAGAACTCATGAGGATTAAGTGGGCAGATTTCCAACGGACTATTTGGCTTAAATTTCTTGTAATGCAACTTCTAGCGTAGGTTTTTCAAAAGTTGCAGAGAACAAAGTCCTGCAGAGAAGAAAGCCTTATGAGCATTATATCAGCACATTCCCAATGGAAGTTCCGCATTAGGGCTTCCAGCAGCTGATGTAAAAAAGGAAAGATTCTGCACATTTCTGTCTTTTTGATAAGAAAATGAGCCCAAAAAATACACAGCAGGTCAGTTTATCAGAGGAGCTGCAGTCATTTACAGGGGAGGTTACGTGTGTGTGTGTCTGTGTGTGTGTGTGTGTGTGTGTGTGTGTGTGTGTGTGTGTGTGTGTGTGTGTGTGTGTGTGTGTGTGTGTGTGTGTCTGTGTGTGTGTGTGTTTGTGGGGTTGCCAGAAAGAGAAATATGAATTGTGTTGTTTTAACATCTGCAGACAGGAAGCTGAGAATATGAATATCGCTCAGCTGGCGCCACCACACACACTGTGTTTCTGAGGGGGTGTGTGTGTGTGTCCCATGTTAAAACTCTCATTGTACCACTGAGAGGAAGCAGAGACGAGTTCAACAACTGTTAGTTCCTGTGCAGCTGAGGGGAGACACACACACACACACACACACACACACACACACACAAATGTTCATCTTTGTCCATTTTCGAGCTGTGATGTCAGTAAACGACTGTCAGAACGTCCCAGCTCCTGCAGGACCTGAGCTCCTCTCCATCATGATGAACACAGACAAATATTAAATGATGTAGCTCTGGAGTCAAAGAGACGTTTTTCACACAATACCTAATACAATATGAAATAATCACTTCAGTCAAGGCATTTAAAGACGTACATCTAAAAAACTCTGGAAAAAAACTCTGGAAGTTCTACATCAGTGAAGTAAAAATTTATTTTAAAAAAATTCAATCAGGGTCTGATTTAATATATTTTGATTAAGAGAAACAGAAAAGTTATAGGAAACAATTCAATAAGCTGATTTCCATTAAAAATGTGTTTTTTACAGAGACACATTTGTTAAGTTGCTGATATGTTCAGAATCAGTACATTTTTAAATGCAAAGATGAATAATTTCTGTGACAGAGCAGTCGATACTGTAAATGAGCAGTTTTCAATAAATAAAGATATCAAAGACAAACATCACTGTTAAATAAGCTGGTTCTTAAAAGGGATTTCTGACATGATGTTTTTTGATGAAAGAATAATCTGGTGATAAACAGCCAAACAACAAATTGATTATTTATCTAGTCCATGATTCCCAAAGCATGGACCATGAAATGCCCATCCATCCTCTTCCACTTACCGGATTCAGGGTCATAAGTCAGTGGTGGGATACAACCCCAGTTTGTTGCATGGTTCAACAGAGAGACAGACGACTGAGTTTAGACTCCGGACAATCTGACATGTGCGTCTTTGGTCTGTGGGAGGAAGTCAGCGAGAGCGCACACGGGAAAAACGTGCAGACCGCTTTGGATCAGGAAAGAATAAAGGAGTAAAGAACGAACCTCAACATACAAATCATCAGAACTTTAAAAAGAATCAGTGAAAAGAAAAACGTGTGACATCACCACAGTCCTGTTTCCATTTATACTGGTGCTTGAAACACACCAGATTGGCTACAGTCTGCTGTGTTATCTGGTTGTTAAGTGATGACGTATGAACCCTGCTTCCGGGCCCAAACTACTCAAGCGGAGTTTGGACCTGGAAGCAGCTAATGACGTCAGACTTAAAATGCGGATTGTCTGGAAAAGGAGAAATGCTCAGTTCATCATGTGAGGTCCCTCAGCAGCCTCGGCCTATAGGAGTATGAGATCAGACTCACCTGATCCAATCATAACTAAATGCTTTATCAAGATAGAAAGTTAAAAGACTGATCTAGAATCAGTAGAGAGGCAGTCTGACTGCTGAATCCAAGCTGGTTCCACAGAGGAGAGACCTGAAGGCCGAAGGCTCTGCCTCCCATTCTACTTTTAGATATCCTGGGAACCACAAGTACGCCCGCAGCCTGAGAGCAAACTGCCCTACTGGAATAATTTGATACTACGGGGTCTTTAAGAGATGATGGAGAGTGATTATTCTGGACTTTGTATGTGAATAGAATAATTTAAGGTCCTGTATACATTCCAAGTGTCCTGAAGTGTAAACACTTGAAGTACAAACAGGTCAGATGTGCAGTTGTATTTGATTAGTATTCAGAGACACAGGCGCAGTCCTCGGCTCGTTCTCTGCCTGACACTGTTTCACTGCAGTGTTACATAAACACTCGCACACATTTACATGAGCTTTCAGCAGCCAATCAGAACTGCAGGCTGGCTGCCATACGAGCAGACAGACTCGACCAGTTTGCGATCAAACTGATTGTTTCTGTCAGTGCCACACCTGCAGCAGCTGCTGCATTCACAGACAGCAGACAGGATTCCCAAACAGACACTCGCATGACCTAAAAACACTTCAATCCTTATTTCATTAGCAAAAAAAAAGTGTTGACTGAGATCCTGCAGTGTTTTCAGCTCCGTGTTTTAATCACGATTCAGTTTAGCCGCTGTGCCGAGAATTAAATAAACATAAACACGAGTAAACACATCTAGAGGAAGATGAATTGCTGGTGTTATTAGCATTCTTACAGCAACCATCCTGCATACATCCCACCTTATGTTCAGTGATACGGAGAAATGCAGTTTTCCAGAGGATGTTTTTTTGGAAAGAAATTCATCTCTGAATTAAAGATCTTTGTAAGAGTTAAATCAGCAGATTCCCAGCAAAACTCCTGACTTTATTCTTTTTGATTAAATAAAATAAGAAAACACACACACACGCACACACACTCTCAGCGACTGTGTTTCCATGGACATGAGTATCTTTCATGAGCTTTTTCCTGTTTTGATCATATCATGAAAATGAGGTTTACTTGAACAGGACCTAGTCTGCTCATTTCCAGCACATTTTTATTCTTGATGTCTCCTAGAGTAGCTTTGCATGATTCATGATAATCCATGATCTCATGCCTTGGCTTGCCATAACCTCACAAAATCTTCTTGTTTTTAATCAACACATTTCAAAGTAAAACCTTTTACTCTGTTTGAAGTTTGCATTTTCACAGTCCAACTGCCACTCCTGAGCAGGTAGGCTGGTGGTGGGCTTAATGTCATTTTTTATCATTTTCATTCAAACCCAACTCATCTCTGACAACTGTGCTGTGCTTTAATTGTCACTTTAGGCACTGAGTGTCTGCCTTAAAGCTGTTTTTCTTTGTTTACTGCAACACATTACTGGGGTTCTCCACCAGTTAGGTGGGTGGTGTTCCGGTCCAAGTGCCTTTGGGCAAGACACTCAAGATGCCCAAATAAAGTCCCAGTAAAAACAGAAACAACAACAGTTAGAAGTAGAACATGAGAATGACATAAATGTCCTCCTCACATTTGTCTGTTGCTCTTGCCTCACCAATCGACCCATTGCTGTTTGGTTTTTCTTCTTTTTAAAAAGTAGATGTATTCATACTGTGAGACACTTACTATAACTATACATATAAATATGGGGCGGTGATAATAAATGACCCCACAGGAGCTTGAAAGTTACACATGAGGTACTCTGGGTCAGCATATCCAGTACTTCTAGCGTCACTGTTTGTGACCACTGAGTGCTGTTTGTTCAGATTCCTGTGATGATACCAAACAAAGTGTTCACAGTTCTGAATTTAATAATCTGACATTCTTGCGACTGTCAGTCTGGAAGACTTGCTTAACTTTTAAATCAGCAGATTTCCAGTGGAGGTTTAGCGCCGGGTCCTTCAACAGACAAAGGAAACAAAGAACTCTCTACCACTGAAACCTTAAATGGATTTGACTTTGGCTGACCTGTTGGAAAACCGATGTCTTGTGACCCACAACTTGTTTACTTTACCATTTACCAAGTTCAACGTTGCATTATAGCATATAACTAGTTTATTACAGGTTCATATGCTGCTTGTGAACACGTAAAATAAGGATAAAAATAAGTGTTCCGGGAGTTTCTTCTCATCAGTTGGATTTCATTTGCGTCAGCATGATTTGAACTCCACATATCAGTGAATAAACAATGTGCACGGGGCTGTATGAGAATGGGAACCACGGCGTCAGCAGCTTTTAGATGAAGTCCGACGGAAACAGCAGCGTCTCTTTAAGACCAACCTGATAATGGGGTCAGAGAGGAGACAGGACCGTCTGTGCGAGACAATGAATGTATTCATGTGTGAACGTCTGAATGAGACCAACAGAGTTATCACTGTGTTTACTGTCTCCCTGCTGCAATGGCTTCTGGGTAAAAGATACGACACACACATGCTTGTATTTACGTCTTTGTGAGGACCCGAACTGACCGTCTCTGTCTTCACTTTCTCAAACATCCATTGTTTTCCATCTTAAACTGAGATGGCGAGCAGCTCAGTTATGTTCACTTGTGTTTCATGTGCTTTCAGAGGCATTAAGTGATTCAAGGCATCACTGGTGATCTAACCAAATGTTTTTTGGGGGAAAAAAAAGTTTTTCTAGGAAAAAGAAAATTTAGCCAATTTTTTTTCAGCTGCCTAAAAACCTGATATACAGTTTGAGACCAAATCACACAGGAAATAAAATTGTTGAACATTCAAGCCTCAAAAACACATGAACAAAAAAACCCCCACCTTCAGAAACCCCACCTTCAGAAAACGTCCCCACTTAACAGAAATCTAATCTAAAGACAAGGAAGCAACTTCTAAGAACAGCGTGATGACGTAATTGTCCCTCGTTACACATTTAAGATAAGAACCTGAAAAAGGTCCCCACTTTAAAAGAAAGTCTCTTCACTTTTTGAATTGTTCACACTTTTTGTAGTAGTGTCCCCATTCTGCAAAAATGTCCTTATAGTCTTCAGATATAATAAATTTACATCCATGTATGCCCATTTTTCAAAAAGCTTCCTTCTCTCAAAAAACAGATTCATAATAATGTCCCACATTTGCCAACAATGAGTCCACACTTGGCTTGCCTCAAAATGTCCAGTAAAGTACAGTAAAGTCCAATTTTTGGTCCCCACAAAGATATAAATACACGCTCACACACAGAGAGTTCACAAAGTCAAGAGAGTGTGCTGCTTTCTCTGGCTGTTAATATTAGCAGAAACCCACTAAACCACAATGAGATAATACCCGTCACACTCACTCACACACTCACACACACAAATGTGTGATGTAGGAACAGTTTCAGTAATGTCTCATGTTGCAGTCATACAATCACCTAAATCAATATCAAATCGGTTTTTACACATTGACGTCAGTAACAAACAGTCAGCAGAAGGTTCAGAAACATTTTCTGACGCTGAAATCAAAAATACTTGAGTGCAAACCTGCCTTAATCGAACAGTTTAGCAAATTCATATCAAATACCAACCCAGTTTTCATTCTCAGGTACCTGCCCATGTTTCTGCTTTAAACACGACTGCTGGTGGACTTGGTCACATGTCTGGTGTGAATGTTTGTTTCAGGTGAGCAGACTGCCGGTGGAGAGCTGTGAGCAGTACAGCAGCTGCTCAGACTGTCTGGGATCAGGAGACCCTCACTGTGGATGGTGTGTCCTCTTCAACAAGTAAGGAACGAACTGCTCCTGCTCTTCTTCTGCTAAAACAAAATAACAGCTTCGTCTCTCATTTTAAAATGCACCCAGTAACAGTCTGTGCACTGGTAAAAGCACTGAGAGAAGTAAATAGCATTGATTGTCTCCTTCCAAGCACCTATGAAGGGGTGAGACTTAAATAATGCAGGAAGTGAACAATCAGTTCTTGAAATTGGTGTGTTGGATGCAGAAAAAATGGCTGTGTGAGGATCAGAGCTACTTTGCCGAGGGTTAAATTGTGATGCTTAGATGGCAGGCCTTTAACGCAGTCCGTGGGGTGCAGTAGTTAGTACCTACAAAAGAGGTCCAAAGAAAGAGAACCAGTGAACCATTGACAAGGTCACGGTGGCTGAAAGCTCATTACGTTACTGTAATGTGAACCGTTTAGTGCTTGGTCTGATGAAAGGTGTCGGAACATACAATGCTTCACAGCTTGCTGCATCTGGAGTTGCATACCTGCAGAACGGTCTCTTGAGTAGCCGTCATGACCCCGTGCCTACGGCCTAAAGCGGCTACAGCCGATGGTCCGGTCTCATGAATCACAGTTTCTTTGAGATTCTGTGCACAGCCAGGTGTGTGCTCCGTCTCCTGCTTTCCTCTTTTACACCCACCCCAGCATCTGGTTGCAGCAGATGTTGGAGATCTTTCTGTTTTAATTTTTTTCCTCCCAACGTTTGCCAACTAAAGTTGGCAATCTATGAGATGTTCATTGTTGTGAAAAGTGAAGACAGCAGAGGAATGTGATGCTCAGTTTAATGTTATGCTATGAAACATTGCTTCCTGGCATCCATGTAGATGTGTTTTCGACATGTATGACCCAAGGGCCAACTGAGAAATTAAGCTAATGCCAAAGTGTCGAAAACTTGAAGTGGCTGCATGAGGCTGTCTCCAAAAGTGAGTCAATCTGCGTTTAGTCCCGCTGCAACAGCATTAACAAGCACATTTAGAGCCTGGTACAAAATACAGTTTAGGACTTTGTGTAGAGTTTATGTTTTTTCCACTCATTCACCTGGATAACTGACAGACAGGTGACCAACACAAACAGCTGAAGGCCAGTGCTAGACCTCATCCACGACTGTAAGTCACAAAAATAGAGCTCTTCACTGTATGTTAGATCATTTTTAAAGGCCTAAGTGGCTGATACGATGGTACAGACAATCAAAGACGTTGGTGCTTTAGTTTTTGTGAATGAACTTTAAGTAATTGTTTTAATCTCTTGTTTAGCACTAAGGGTCAGATTTACTAACACACCAAACCGGTGCAAACTGGGTTTTGGTCTGAAAAACGTTTGCATTGTACTTTTCACTTTTCAAGTCAATAACTGTTTTTCCTTTTATCTTATGGTGTGATCTCCCCAATCTTCAGCAGCTGTATTTAGTAATATATTTAGTAGTATCTAAGTGACATGATGCACCCACCACTCTACAGATATCTCAGAAATTATTTGGTGAACATGGCAGAGTTTTAGGTGGTCTTAGCCAAAACATCTATGAGATGTGGTGTAAAAACAATCCACAGAGATGCTTTTGCTACTTCCAGGACTCAAAGCATGTAAGATCTTAGTGTCTGATACCACAGGACACCTTCAGATGTCTGTGAAGTCAGTCTTTTGAATGGTAGGAAATTATTTTCAGTGCCATTAATGAGACCAGCACAGGTTTTAATGTTGTGGCTGATGAGGTCAAATGAAGATCTTGACTCTTTAGACATTTTAAGTTATTTTATTAAAGCAAGCAAAAGAAAAAAAAATGCTATTTTTAAAATTATTTGCTCTACAAAATCCTTGGAATATCTCAATTTCTTTGGGTCCAAAAACCTTCAAACATTAATTTTGCATCCAAACTCAAAAGCAGCAGTTTTTTTTTCTTTTGTGACGCCAGCGTCCGCAAACATTTTATGCTGTTTTGTTCTATTTGCTCTAAAAGAATTGAAACTATTAATTGATTTTTTTTGGTAACTGATTAAGTTAAAGCAAATGGCAGTGAATCAACTACAGTAACCACTTCCTCTGCAATACATAAGAATACAGAGAAAGTATGTGTGTGTGTGTGTGTGTGTGTGTGTGTGTGTGTGTGTGTGTGTGTGTGTGTGTGTGTGTGCGTGCGCACGCTCCCATGAGGCGTCATTAATACTTCTATAAATGGTTCACACAGTCTCCCTCATCACGATGTTTGATGTTCAGCATCCAAGCAGGTGGAGGAAGTTCCTCTTTGGATTGTCATCAGTTAGCTCCCCCTTCAAAGTAAAAGCCTCTGACTGGCAGTGAACTACAGAGAACAAAACACAGCTTGTTTTTATGCTGAAGCTTCTAGATATGTTGCAGCAGGACATCTTTGTGCGTAAACCCATCTCCCAGTGTGACATGAAGACATGTCGCCCTCACTTTTATAGTTTTAAGTTTCTTTCTAAAATCTCTGACTGTTCAGACAAGAGAAGGTCTGAGTGGATAAAAAAAATATCTGAGCAACTTTAATAAGCTAGCTCAATGGGAAGTCTCCTTTTTGAACCTTTTTTATCCCGAGTTTTGCCTCCAAGGCCAGGTACAGGCTCCACTACTTTAAAGAGTGATGTCTGGTGTCTGGTTCGCAGTGTGAAAGGAAAAGAGCAGAAAAGCAAACTGTGACTTATTCAGTTCATCAAACGGATGATTTTAACTGTAAATGTACAATCTTTGTGGTCCTCTCTGCTTTTCATCTCCTCTCCTCCTCACGCTCCCTCACTCATTCTGTCCATCTGTTGTTAATTAGAAGTAAACAGATCATTACTGCAGGCTGCTGTCTATGCTGTGTGGCGCTGCATATGTTGGAGCTGCTGCTCTCTGCAGACACCAAGCTTCACCTCCGACTGTTTCCTGCTCCAACTCCACCTGAAATCCCACGACACCAGTGTCACTCACCACTCACTTTAATTTTATTAGTGAAATTCAACAAATAGAAAAGATGTTTTTTAGTTTGACAGATCCTGTTGTCCACCAGTGTATTCCTCTGTCACCTGATTTTAGGTTAATAGTCACAACCCTTTTAAAAATATAGAGAGTGAACTAAATGTAATAATAATAAATTAACAACAAAGAGAAATAAAAATAAAAATAAATGTCATAAAGAAGTTGGATATAAAAAAAAGTTTATATCTAAAAATGTGATATAAAAAAATTAGAAGAGTTAAAGTAAATAATCATTGCATGAAATTTAAATAAGTTTTAAAATTGTGCGTTTAAAGACAAAGTAAAATGTTTTTAGAATCATGAAGTTTTATTTATAAATTACATCACATTTACACACAAAAGATGTTAAAGTGCTAAAAGATTAAAGATTAATTAATTTAATAAAGTATTTCATTTCATTTAATTAAATTTAAGTAGTCAATTTAATAAAGTACCCCTGGACTGGCAGACCGGGGTGGTGGTCCCCATCTTTAAGAAAGGGGCCGGAGGGTGTGTTCCAACTACAGGGGGATCACACTCCTCAGCCTCCCTGGGAAAGTCTATGCCAGGGTGCTGGAGAAGAGAGTTCGTCCGCTAGTCGAACCTCTGATACAGGAGGAACAATGCGGTTTTCATCCTGGTCGTGGAACACTGGACCAGCTCTTTATCCTCTCGAGGATACTCGAGGGCGCATGGGAGTTTGCCCAACCAGTCTACATGTGTTTTGTGGACTTGGAGAAGGCATTCGACCGTGTCCCTCAGGGGTCCTGTGGGGAGTGCTCCGGGAGTACGGGGTGTTTGGCCCATTGCTACGGGCCATTCGGTCCTTATACAACCGTTGCAAGAGCTTGGTCCGCATAGCCGGCAATAAGTCGGACTCGTTCTGTTGTGGTTCTGTGGTCCTGTTGCCTTCATCAGGTGAGGGCCTCCAGCTTGCCTTGGAATGGTTGGCAGCCGAGTGTGAAGCAGCGGGAATGAGAATCAGCACCTCCAAATCTGAGGCCATGGTTCTCAGCCGGAAAAGGGTGGAGTGCCCACTCCGGGTCAGGGACGAGACCCTGCCCCAAGTGGAGGAGTTTAAGTATCTCGGGGTCTTGTTCACGAGTGATGGGAGAAGGGAGCCGGAGATCGACAGACGGATTGGTGCAGCTGCTGCAGTGATGCGGACGCTGTCTGTTGTGGTGAAGAGAGAGCTGAGTGTAAAAGCGAAGCTCTCAATTTACCGGTTGATCTACGTCCCTACCTTCAACTATGGTCACAAGCTTTGGGTAGTGAACGAAAGAACGAGATCGCGGATACAAGCGGCGGAAATGGGTTTCCTCCGAAGGGTGGCTGGCCTCTCCCTTAGAGATAGGGTGAGAAGCTCAGCCATCTGGGAGGGGCTCAGAGTAGAACCGCTGCTGCTCCACATCGAAAGGAGCCAGCTGAGGTGGTTCGGGCATCTGACAAGGATGCTTCCTGGGCGCTGTTTTCTGGTCATGTCCCTCCGGGAGGAGGCCCCGGGGCAGACCCAGGACACGCTGGAGAGATTATATCTCTCAGCTGGCCTGGGAACGCCTTAGGGTTCCCCCGGATAAGCTGGAGGAGGTCGCTGGGGAGAGGGAGGTCTGGGCTTCTCTGCTTCGGCTGCTGCCCCCGCGACGACCCGACCCCAGATAAAGCGGAAGAAAATGGATGGATGGATAATTTAATAAAGGAAGTTATGAGCTACTAATGTGAATTTTATAAAGTAACTGACAGACAATAAGTTAGCACAATCAAAATGATTTACATGATCCTCAGAAACACACATTTGCAAACTGGACTTGATCTGAAAGGGCGAATGAGAAGAAAGTATATTTAAAGAATTAAGATCTGAAGATGATTGCTGATGGAAAGCTGCAAAAAAGCGAACCGCTGTAAGGTCCAGTCTGAGGTTCAGAGATACGCTTGTGTCAGTCAACAGCACTAAATAATGTACATGTTTAGTAGATGTTAACCTCAAAAAGCTGATTTGCGTTTCATCACTCGTCCAAGTGGCTTCTTCCGTCAATGTTAATCCCTTGGTTACTTTTCACTCTCCTGCAGGTGTTCCAGACAGGAAGCATGTGACAAGTGGGAGGAGCCTCAGCACTTTAATACACAACTGGACCAGTGCGTCAACATCTCTGTTTCCCCGAGCAGCATGTCAGTCACCTCCCCGGCAATGCAGGTATGAACCATTATTTTCTTAATTACATAAAATACTCTCTGTCAGAATTCCCATTACAATCTGCTGATTTTCCCTGAAAGTCAGTGGATTTATTCTTTAGTCCAGCTGTTTGAACTCCTGTTCATGCAACAGCTGTGAATAGAAACCTTTCTGAAGTGTAAATAAGAACTTTACTTTTAGTGATCGAGTGTCTGTTGGTGTCCAGTTAACCATTCAGGTGCAGAACGTCCCTGCGCTGTCTGGTGGGGTTACCTGTGTGTTTGAGGACCTGAGTAATGCCCCCGGAGAGGTGCGGGCCAAAGGTCAGGTGATGTGTATGTCACCATCACTGAGGGACCTTCCAGCACAGACACACTCCTTTGGTAAGAAACACACACAAATTCATGCTTCAGTGAATTTAGAGGACATCACCTTTCCTTACTGTCCTGTCGTGTTCTGGAAATTTGACCTTTAACTTGACCCTCACTTTAACCTAACCCTACTTTTCTCTTAACCTTACCTTAATCTAACATCAGCCTAACCCTAAAATTCAGTAGTTTGCCTTTTGATTCTGAGATTGTGCTAATGCAAGTCCCCAAACAGCAGAAAAACAAGTATACTCACACCCGCTTATTCTGAACTTGTTTCTTTTGCCTTCTCGTTTTTCTCGGTTATCACATTTAATGTGCGATTCTAATGTTTTGTAATCATGTCAGCTTCAGTATAACGCGCCATTATATTGATCACTATGAACTAAGTATTAAGAAGGATGTTATTATGCTGTTAATTTCAGGAGCGAAACGAGTGGTGCAGCTCAGCCTTCGCTCCACAGAGACTGGACACCAGTTCATCACCACAAACCTCATCTACTACAACTGCTCTGTGCTCAACTCGTAAGCCTTAAACACCTCTAACCTAATTATCTCATGTGTCTCTTCGGTAATGAACTCATAAATTCTTGCTGGTTGTGCTCGACCACTCAGAACTTTTCTCTCTTTCCTCTCTCAGGTGCACTTCCTGTGTCAGCAGTGAGTTTCCGTGTCATTGGTGTAAATATCGTCACATCTGCACCAACAACCTGCAGGACTGCTCCTTCCAGGAGGGACGAGTCAGCAACATGGAGGTAACACACACACAGACCTGTTTTCATCACTTAACTGGACTTATAACCAAGCGCTCACACAAAAATGTGATTCACCATATGGGACTTTATGTCCCCCGAAGGAAGGTGAAGGAACATCTTTGGGTCCCCACAATGCTTCACATAGCTGCCTGGCATGTTTCGACACTAACATAAGGCAGAGAGGATGATAAGTAGACGTAATATTACTGTGATTATTAGAACAGAAAAGGTCCAGGTTTCTAAAGACCTTTTTGTGTGCTAAATACCAAGACAAGGATCAATGACACAAGCCTACTGTGCCCAGATCTGAACAATCACAAGGAGATTGGATGGTTGGCCTGAGTCGTTTACATGTTGAAAATTAAATAAAATGAACATAAATAATCTACAACAATGTACAAAGACAAGCAACAGCAAATAAATAAAAACCTGCTTCTGAATGGCTATGAACAGATGGAAAGCCGTCATAAAGAGACACAAATTAAATACAATGAAGCGCGAAAGCCCTACAAACAATCTGGCATGAATACAAAGAGACATAAAACAACTGTAAGAAGACACAAAACAACATATAACTATGAGCAAGTCACAACAAACTCAAACTTCAGTTCTGCTGTCAGTATGGCTTCTCTGTAGGAGGAAGTGAGGCCGTTGTCTCAAAAGTCATCAAAGATGCTTATCGATGTGTAAGACGAGACCTCTTTTCCAACCTGTTCATAATTGAACACATCATACAGGCGTCGGACTCCAGGCCTCGAGGGCCGGTGTCCTGCAGGTTTTAGATGTGTCCTTGATCCAACACAGCTGATTTAAATGGCTGAATGACCTCCTCAACATGTCTTGAAGTTCTCCAGAAGCTGGTGATGAACTAATCATTTGATTCAGCTGTGTTGACCCAGAGTGAGATCTAAAACCTGCAGGACACCGGCCCTCGAGGCCTGGAGTTTGAGTAATAGGCAAATTTCTAGAATTTTCCATCCCAAACCTCTAAAACTTTATTTATACTTTTGTGTTAACCTTATGTAAGACTTCATGTTTATGCTAGTAGCCGACACGATTGCCACCAGTTACTCCAGTGCAGGACTGTTCTGAGATTTTTCAAAAACATGTTGGCAGTGGCAGTTTTTGCTCTTCAGGATGACTTTACTGTTCGATTAGAAGTGCACATAGAAGTGGGCTGGGTCAGTACAATATATATACAGTAGTAGGTGCACTTGAGGTTTAGAGTATGGAATAATGTGCGGTGTAAGGTTTCAGATGGGTTTCCAGTTACGACATACTTACAGTGTGGACTATTGCAGAGCTATAAGTCCTCTATAAGCATAACCTCTGCTGCTTCAAATGGACGTTCCCTTTATCTTATGGTGATCCTAATGGTTAACTCGAACTCTAACCACTCAATTTCTGTGCCTAACTCTCACTGTGTAGAGTTTCAGGCCATGTGTTGGTTTCTGTTTTTTTGATTGACCCATTTGCCTTTAATTCACGAGGCCAAGACACAACATGGAAGACGTCCATCTCCCCCAAGTCCCAAGGAACCACAAGAACCACTTGTCAAAGTTAATATACGTTTCATTGATCAAGAGATGGGGAAAAAAGCAGGATTTGAACCTGCCGCCCATGGTGAGCCAAGGCCAAACTGCAAACAAATGTATCACAACCAAGATAACCAAAAAAAACACATCCTTCATAACAGGATCTGTTCTTCTTCAACTGGACCTCAAATCTCGGGTTCCTGTTTTCTCGTTAGCCTCTGGCTCCATCATTGCATTTGAAGACACTGGACCTAAATAAAGGTAATTAGTGAGATATTTCCACTTGCCTAGCTCTCAGGTGTGCACCGGTGACCGGGTGGATGTGAGGAGGTTAATAGCACAACAGCAATGATTAATTGTGACCATTTTGTGACCTTAATTAACAGTAAAAATAAAACCATCCCAGTGGAAGTCGTTGTTTCATGCTGGCCACCCTCACGGCAGGTGTCTTTTTTTCTTTTAGAGGAAGAACGTTATCCTCACTGAAGTCTTCTCTCTGCTAGACGTGAAACACGAAACACATGAAACCCACAATAGTGTTTCTTGTCTGAGTCGCGGACTCTCGCTCGCTGCTGTCAGACTCTTCTCTCTGACTCATTTTCTCTGACACTTTCCCACTCTGTCTTTCAGAGCTCGTCGTCTGTGACGGCTCTAATTCTTGGCTCTCTGACGGATTTTGCCAGAGGTGCAGTGCTGCCAGAGTTCACTGGAACAAGGATCTGCCTCATTTTTTCATAGAAAATTGGTTAATTAGACTGGGTGCCTTTTCTTTAAAAAAAAGTGTGTCCATTTAGCTGAACAAATTATCACTAAATAGCAGGAAAAACACAATCCACCTTTATATTTTGTGTCAGGCAAGAAAATCTTGATAACAATTTGATCTCGCAAAGTTGCCAAGAGTTTAAAAGGTGCTGTTAGTCCTTTTCCTCGTTTAGTCTGCACATTAAAATAATTTAAAAAAAAAAACTAAAGTAAGCTACTTATTGGTTAAGTAGGCTAAAGATGAAAGGCCTTTTTTGATCAGCTGAAACAGTAACAGTTAATTAGACTTGAGTTGTTTTAATCTTTTGAGCTACGAAGAAAGGAGAATCAGAGAAACATGCACTGATGGAGAGTAGCGGGATGGGAGGGGCATGTAGCGGCTGATGAAGCTGGTCAGACAGGCTTGAAGGACAGATGATCGATTCATGAAGTCGGTCTAATATTAGATCATTTGGTCGGTTATAGTTGACTGACGCTTGTAAACCTGCCGCTGTAGGACGGATGACTCCATAACCCTCAAAATGAGTTATAGCTCAAACTCACACGAGCTGGTGCATTTTTGTTGAGCTTCATTGCTTAAACAAATAACACAACACCTCTGGATTTCCCATCTGTTCTTTCAGTGAACCAAAAAAGAGGTTTTCTCACACCTAGTCATCTTCAAATGTTAATAGATATATTCCTCTAGTATCAGTCTTCAGCCATTTCTTCATTAATTTATAGTTCGGTGTACTGGGTATTTATAGAGACCTGTTAGCTGACAGTGTGTCTAAATCAGACAGTTTCTTCTACAGGATGGAGCAGTGATGGAGGTCAGAGCTGCTCCCTCTGTCATTACATGGTTCAGTAAACAACAGTAAAGCTTCAGGTCAACAGTGAAGGGTGGAAGCGCACACACACACATACACACACACCATGTTTAAGTCTGTCCTTGCTGATGCATTCAAGGACTCTGTGACTGATGGGATTTAAGAGTCGGCTCCTGAGAGGTGTTTTCAGTCAGACGAGCTAAGCCCGAATGTTGTTTAAACTCGGATATTTCTCCATTTTCTGATCTAAGTGCTGAAGTTTTTCAAGCATGTGAGGCATGTGGAAAAGTCAACAAAACCAGGAAGCAGCACAACGTTCATACTGCATGCTTTCTCTATCGTCTTGTTTTCTCAGCTTTTTTTAAGAACACATTTTTATTGAGCCAGAAGAAACACAAGACGTGTTCACAAAATAATGAACTTGCAGAAACTGGACAAAACAGTTCAAAGAAAAAGTATCTCAGAAAACAAAAACTGCTGCAGATATCAGTTAAAGGGATTTGACCCAATTAGTCAACGCGTGAAATTAAACGAAGAATGTTTTTGATTTAAAAACAAAAACCAACAACATATTTGGATTTTCTCTACAGTCACAGTGTCATCTGCATGAGTCAGACACCTGCTTCAAAGAAACACAACTTAGTCGTAACATCAACAACTCCATAGTTTAAGGTCTTGTTAAATATAACAGGAAGTTTATTTTACACATTATACGTGTGCAGAAGCAACATAAAGCAGGGATATGCTTTAGGTTTCCCAACCACTGTGCCACGGCACGCTGTTCAGGTGTGCCGTGGAAGATTATCTGCTTTCACCTGATTGGTAATCTAAGCAGCGGTCCCCACCCCCGGGCCACGGACCGAAGTCGTTTGGTACCAGGCCGCAAGAGTTGACGCTCGGGTGCGAAATTTATGGTTTTTATCGTTTTTTATCATCAACCGCTGGTCTGAGCGACTGCGTGAGTAACTTGCAGAGTTACATTCTCTTCCACTAGAGGGCAGTACAACTTCCTGCTCCAGTTAAATTGGTTGCTAACCTCCAGTAAATCAGAAAACGAACAAATTACATAGTCATCTGACAACACAGCGCATAATGGCAATAGATAAATATTTGAAAAGAAAAAATAGTCAGTCTGACCTGGTCCTGGAGAAAATCCCGACCCAGATGAAAGCCCTGGCATGAGTACTGGTCAGAAGAAAGCAAACATGGTAAACTGTGGACAAAGTGAGCCAATTCTGCTACATCTGATTATCAATATGCTTTTTGTGGGATTTTTGTTTGGTGGTGTGCCGTGTGATTTTTCTAATGTGCCGTAGCTCCAAAAGGTTAGGAAACACTGCTTCAGGGAGATCTCATCGTTGATAATAGTTTGGACACAGAAGATGTGAAGGACCACTGGTTTATTTTTATGAGATGACCAGATGTTAACAGCTAAAGATGAGGAAATGAATGTGTGTTTTCTGAGATTAGTGCTGCCAGTGGTAGAAGGTGGGATTTTTCTGTGAGACAGAGTAAGAAAAGGCAGCGCTGAGCAAGTACTGGGACCAGAAGTTGTCTAATCAGTAGTAGGCAGTAGTAAGAAAATAAGCACATAGGAGAAGGGCACACACTCTGTCATGGCTTCAGTAATGACAGTGACCTCCTTAAAAGTCAGAGACAATGCCGTTGGATTAGCAGACTGTGGTGGTCCTTTTTTTAAGAAAGAGATCAAACTGACGATTGGATACAGGAGTAGTTGTGGGACACTGGGCAAGTCCTTTATCCTCTGGCAAAGGTGTTTCTGGCATGTGATGCCACATCTCGTAGGTAAGGTGCTTAGTGCATGTCAAACTGGGAGGAGGGCAGACCCAGAACATGCTGGAGTGATTATTGTTCTCAGCTGGCTCGGGAACAG